TCTAGTTTAGGAAAGGAAAGCTGTTTGGTAGAGGTGACGGAGAACTGTAGACATATGACTCTGGATGTGGCACGTACATAGGCTCTTGTCTTCTATATTGTGGTGGTGGAGGTGGTGGTGATTCTGAAGGGTAAGGAGAATACTTTTTGGGTGGATAAGGGGAAGTGTATTGTGGTGTTGAAAGGGATGAGTCGTATGCTATCACTATAGCAGCAATGGCACTAAAGACCACAACATAAACGACCAAGCAATGACCAACCCCTATCATTCTTGAGGATCTCATCGTACCCGTAGCTGCTCTTTTAATCTCCTTTTGTTTTTGTTTTTCTTTTTGTTATGATATAGTTCAACATGAGAATCCTTTATATAAGATCGTTTTGTGTAATAAATAACTTATCTTCTCCATTTAGGTTCGTGTGTGGCACTTACAAATAATTTTGAAGACGTGCTAAGTTGCTTATTTGAAAAGTAGTGATCGTAAGGGGATGAATATCTGAGATTCTCTTGCAAATATCAATAAGTTTATGATATCTTCACATTCTTTTGTTATTTTTTTATAGCAACTTGATTTAAAGAAACATCAGAAGCCATGTATAGATGATATTTTTGCCATAATGGTTTTTTTTATGTGCGAACGCGTCATTATTACATGTATATAATTAGTTGAAAACATCTGATCAAAGAATTTACTAAATTTTTTGAATGATATAAAACTCTAATTAGTGCTTGTGGGAATTTTGTTGTATTAGTAAAAACTGAAAAGAAAAGAGAGAGTCTCACCTAGTTGATACAATAAAATGTATAATCCATATTGAAACATATTATTCTGATAATAGAGAATACATCAAATGAGGAATTAATTAGTAATGACTACATTGGTATCACCGGTTGTGGAATACTCTTGAGATTCGAAACCAGGATGGCAGCAACATTGGCCGGTTGTTTTGTGAACATATTTTTGACAAAACCCTCCTTTGTTGAATCCTTTAAATCTACAAAGTTCGTTGCATGTCATATCGTTTGTACATTTTGATCCCGGTATACATGGTATGACTTCGACTGCATAAACAAACACATTAAGAAGATTAAGTACAAAAACTATCGATTGATTATTTTATGAATTTGTATTACTAGTGCATGTTTATGTTTCTGATTCCAATCCCGGTGAGTTTGATAATATTTTTTTACAATAACAATATAAATTTTAAAGTTTTTTTTAAAAAAAAAAAAACTAAATTCTGAGCGATAGCCATTATTTCTTTTCAAACTGTTAACATATTTTTCAATCTGAATTGCCACCTTTAAAATAACACAAAATGACCTTCCGTTATAGTGGAGTTGACTGAATCTTTTCTTAAAGAAAAATATACAGAAAAAAAAAAATTTTGTAACTAAATGTAAAAAAAAAATAATATGATTAAATCTTTTGTTTTAAAATTGTTTCACTATTCATCTTTTAGACTAAACAATACGCATCAATATAAAAAGCTAATTTTTATGATGCATGAAACCATACATTTTACTAACTTTAAAAAATACTATCATTTTTCACACTAGAGTAACTCGACTTATTAAAAAACTCTGATAAACATTCCAAAATAAAAGCATTTAACGTGTATTTACATTCACAAATGTTTTTGTTCAAATGTAAAACTAATATTAAAATATATTGGTTTTCTTCACATGTAAAACTAATATTTCAACATGTTAATGCAAATACAGAGAATTTTGATCATTTTATTTCGTGTATATTGCTGGTAGAAGCATCCCAATTTTTTCAAAGAAATCCTATACTAATATTTGGGAAGTACATCCTAAGGATCATAACGTTGATTTTGTAAGAAATTACAATATATGCCATTAAAGAATTCTAATCATAATCATTTTATTCCATGTCACTAATATATATTAACGGGTCAACGGGTCAAACGGGTTTGAATATATTAAAAGATTTTGTTTATATAATTCATATAATTCGAAAAAATATTTCTTCAAACGATTACACAATTAATATAATTCGAAAATGTTATATACTAATCAATTCGAAAATGTTACAAAAATAGTATAAATGTTATATACTAATCTATTATTCGAAAATGTGATCGCAAATATTATTGAAAATGTTATATAGTAATCCATTATTCGAACATGTTATCAAAAATGTTATTGAAAATGTTAATGAAAATGATACATCATTGAAAACATTTTATATCAATCGAATTTATAAAAAAATGTTATTTTGAATTATAATACTCATATAGTTCGAAAATGTTATTGAAAATGTTATATACTAATCCATTATTCAAAAATTTTATTAAAAATTGAAAATGTTATATCATTGAAAAAATATTATATTATTCGGATTTATCAAGAAACTATTATTTTTCACGTCTATAGTTAGCCAAAATATATTATTCGAATTATAATTAAACAAAAGTTATTATTCGATTTGGTGCATTACTACAATTCGTAATCTTTGAGAATATTTTCAGTTTCCTTAAAATATTTTATCATCAATTATTGATTTCGTTTGTTATATTCTGTTTCTTATAATTTAAAAACGCAAAATCAAATCCCCTGTATTAAGCAACTACAACAAACACCAGTAAAAAAGTCAACAAAATATTCGAATTTCCTAAAATATATTTATCATTAACTATAAAATCTAAAATCTTTCAAAAATTGTTAACCATGTAAAGATTTTGTAGTTAAGGAAACAAAAATTTATTTTGAACATAATTTTGATTTAAAAAAATATAAATCGTAATGTATCTTGCAACTTAGGATTCCTTATATTATGGGAATCAAAGATTTTTCTTTTTCAATCATAAATTGGGTTATATATAAGGATAGTTTTTAAAATTTAATAATAAAATCACCATATTTGTTAAGATCTTAGTAGTTAAATATATTTAGATTAGTCGGCTAAACCTAAATTATGTACAAACTATCTCTCTATAAATAATGGCATTTCAAGCTAACTCGGTTTGATTTAAGGTTTTGTTGTCAAAATAAAGTTAATAATATTTTTTTGCTTTTGTCACTGCAGATAAAAACTCCACTTATCTACACTTATGGCATCGATGTGACGCGTAAAACATCTAAAAGGGATATTGTGGTGATTCATGAAGACGCCTGTTTCTGTTGATGGCTAAGACAACGATTGGAAACTGTTTAATGATCCGTTTAAAGGTAAAACCAAAGACATGTGTTTTTTTATGAGAGAATTTGATACCAAAAATCTGTGAAACATAATTGTGAAAGATTCAGTGCGTTTATTTTACAGTGCAACGAATGCAACATGGTCTATGTGTGATGTATTGGTATACACGTACGTAATAGTATTGTTCTAATCCTCTTAATTGAATATTTTATTTTTCAGATGTAAAGATCTGGTCTTCAACCCGATGTAAAAGCACATGAAAAGAGCTTGACGAGAGAGAAAAGCCTTAATTCGAAATGGTATATTATTGTTTATATACCAATTTTTCTATATAATTGTAGGAACCATACCTATTAAGAAACAAATTTCTATATCTAAATACACATTTTAATGATGAGAGATATTTTCTTTATACTTAAATCGTTTATAGATTTGTTTTTTTTGTATAACTATAAATATTGCTTCTATTGACAAGTCGATTTTTCTAATTTATTTATTTAGATGAATTTGAATACCTTTTATTTTGTTTATTTTCACATGTCTTGACTTGATGGTTTGTTTCAGATCTTCATCCAAAGAATCTCATCCAAAGAGTCTGATTCAATGAGCCTGTGTATTGGGAATCTGGAAGTAAAAAGAAATTCAAGGTGAAACTATTTAGAAGGTTTGTATGTTTCAAATATTTATGATTTACATGAAAACGTATATCTATTTTTTTTACTTAAGGAGATATATAAAATTGAAGTCACTATGAAACATGATTATGTCACCTACTGAGAATTGAAGATTAAGATGGAAGGTTATGCTAATTTCATGCTTATATATATGAGTATTATCGTTTCTCTAATACAAAACAACACCTAAATTTATAAAGTAGTTTTCCTTTACAGGTCAACAGATCACTATAAACACAAGGAAACAAAGAGACATCTATGATTCATGGATCAAGGAATATTGATCGAACTCATTGACAGCGTAAGTCTTATCTCTTGATTTATTCTTTTATATTGCATCTAGGTCCAGATCCTGTGAAGTAACACAAATCACAATATGTAGAAAATTTGAAAAAAAAATTAGCAGATGAATATGTAAGTAGACAATAAATATTTTCGAGTCTCAATCTAAGAACTTCCCTACAATTTCACGAAAAAAAATCATTTGTACCTTATGATTTTTCGAGTCTCTCTATATTTGGTATCACCAAGGCAAGTATTGTAAAATGTCAAACTGTATTATGATCATCTTGGTAAGAACGATGATCTAAATTTCGGAGTCGGAGGTCACACTGAATCTGCATGTCTCGATGATGTCCTTGATGTTGAAGATGACTTCTCCCCTCCCCGATTAAGCTTTCTTCTTTGGGTCTAAATGATAAATGGGCTTTTTAAGACCTCAAACTACAATATGTTTGGTTCTAAATTATGTGTTTAATGGGTTTCAATTTGAATTTAGCCTTCTTTTTTTCTTTTTTTCGTTTCCAACAATTTAAAATCATTTGACTCATTCGACTCTTCATATATCCAACTAGATTATATGTGTGAATACTTGCAAATTTAGCACATTGATATTATATATATCTACCAATTCTGTTGCTATTTACTTTCGACCTTATAGTCAGGGTTATTACATTCGATGTCTTACATCGTATTTGTTTTTAATTTATTGTACAATGATTAAGAATAAAAACATTTTCATATTATTTTATGCAAGCATCCTATACCTTAAAATTTTATTGAACCTAAATCACATAACCTATAAATTAAACTCAATTTATACGAAGAAAAAAAAACGGATTGTTTAGTCATGAACTAAATTCAGTCACAATCTCATGAACCTGAATTTATAAATTGAAATCATAGTTACAACTCAATAAGTATATATTATGTACGCCACAATCTTTCTTATAAATAAACTATAATTAAATGATATAACAGAAAAGTGATTTAATACTTGAAATTCAAATCCGGTTTACATTCAGTCATGATCTGACCGCCGGGTCAATCCGAGTTTCAAGATACACATAAAACTATTATCATTTTTAACATTCATAAACAGGATTAAACCTAGACCGAATACTAAACTGAATACCAAACCAATATGTATACAGATTATATATGTTACACCAAATTAAATGTTTATAAACATAACTTCGCACGAACGGAACATGAATTACGGATAATAAGAAAGTATCAGATATTTTGGGTAGCTAAATTTAGTTATTAATATCTCACTAATTTGGATATTATCAACTTCGGGCCGGGTAAAGGTCTATTTTGGGATGAAAGTTTCGAGAAATTCGAGTGTTTTTTTAAGATATAATTGAGAAATATATATAAAGAACATGTGGATCATTTTAACTAATTTTGTAAAACTTAAATATCCAAACAAAAATACAAGAAATACACGTATCTCATACGAATCCTAGACCTATTCTCTTACCCGTTGAACTGAAATATAAAATTGCAAACGTGTAAATTATTTAAAAAGAAACGGTTATAATATGGAATAATTTCTGACAGATTTCGGTTGAGAAGGGTTTTCCGTCCCGAAATGGACTTTCCTACTTTTTCTCATTTTTTTTTATATAATTGCCTTTACTGATAACAAAAACAATTCCAATACTCCTTCTCTCTAAATCGAATCGAAACCGGTATGTATGCAGGTTATAAGTGCTACATCAAATTAAATCTTAACAAACATATCTTCGCACGAACGGGCGATAATTACGGTAATATGAAGGTATCATAAATTTAGGGTAGCTGAATTCAATTCTTAAACTCTCACTAATTTAGATATCTATCAATTTTGGTACGGGTAAAGGTATATTTCAAGATAAAAGTTCTGAGAAATTCGGGTATTTTTAAGACATAAGTGAGAAATATTAAAAAAAAAAAGGGATAATTTACACTAATTTTGTAAAATTAAATACTCAAATGGAAAATACAAAAAAAATATAATACATGTATGATGTATCCCATCCGAATCCTAGACCTATTCCCTTACCCGCTGGACTAAAATTTGAGGACCAAAATGCATGTGTTAAAATAAATTCTGTAACCGCATAATAATTTCATATTCCAAAATAGAAGTATTTGTTTAACAAAAAAAGAATTCATAAACATATACAATATATATTTCCAAAAAGTATAAACTTATAAACTTAGGCTTTAAGTTTTACTATAAGATATATTTATAAAATAAAAGAAAAATTATAAAACACTAATAAATTGGATATTTACGGGTCACATAGTAAAGCGAGAAATATACCGGGTAAAGTGACAAGTATTAAAAAAACATATATCTGATACTTGACTTTTACCTACGGGTAACATAATAACACCCTTTACCTGACCCTAAGGTCACATATACCTTCTTTTCGAGACGGGTACGAGACGGATACGAGTCGAGTACCTATCAACCGGTTAGTTTATCTCATCGGTTCACAGATTTTTAATCATTCACAAGTTTAATAAAAATCTTATAGATCACTAATCCGCTTCACGGTTATTTCCAGTCCATCTGCTTCAAAGTAATGGTCAAAATTGAACCATTTAAAACATTTAACTATTTTATACTTCACACTAAAACCGAATCAAACTGCACTTGGTATAAATTCCACACGTACGTGCTGATCAGAATCTACATATAGGACCAAAATTACAAAAGAATCTATATTGAATTAAATTTTATGAAAACACATTTTTTATAATATGAAATCCCGCACATATGTGCGGGTCAAGATCTAGTCTTTAAATAAGACTTCAAGTCTCCCACCATGATATCAGAGAAAAATAAACAAAAATAATCGCATTTAAGACAATTTACTTCTGAGTAAATATATTTGTTACCTGAAATTATGGATGGAAGGATGAGAGCAAACACCATCAACAAAAGTAAGAGAAAATATGAAAACTTCTGAATGGCCATTGTTTATGTTGCTAAAAAATACAACAACTCACAGTTAGAATATTCTTGAGAAACAAAAAAAAAAAAAAACTATAGAAAAGTACACTGATAGTCTGATAGTAAGAATATTAGATTTTACAAATATTTGAAAGATGTTATTGATACTGTTTTAATATTCAAGTGGTTGTCTTTCAACATTTTTTATGATATTATACAACCCAATTTACCTTTCTTTTGGATATATAGATGTTGGGAATTGACTGTTTTTTTTTTTATCTATGGTTTTTCTATATTATATATGGAGTATTTGTTTTATTTGGTTATTTGAACAATGATGATTTGGTCAAAGGTGTTGTTATTAATTTATACTCAGATTCATGATTGTGTTTAAATAGTTTTGTTGACCACCATTTTATCTGAAGGGGTTATAATTTTCTTTCCTGTTTAGATAAAAATAGTTAAGCTGACCACAATTGTATTAGACTTGCTTTTAAACGTTGATAGTATCTACTATCTACTTTAATTGTTTGGCTTTGACTAAGAAAGAAAATAACATCACATCGGCCATTCAAATTTCTTTTATAATAGATATGTAACTGATTTATTAAAATAGGTAGAATTTTTTGAAAACGTTTATTTGGTTATTCAGACGGTGATCTTGGTCAAAACAATTGATGTCACTTACATTTTAAAATCGTATAATATATATCAGGTAAAGAAATTTGTAGGGGGCTTTTTATTTTAGTTGAATCATTTAGAGTCATTGTTTAAATTTAAATTAATTTTATGGACCGATTTTTAAAAAATCTAGATACAAAAGCTCAAGTATTTTGATGGCAGAAACCAAATTTAGATCCTTATTTTTTTTTTTTGTTAAAATTGTTTTAGATCCTTATTGTCAGTGCCGGCCCGACATCTTCGAGTGCCATAGCAAAGCTTCAAAAAGTATGCCTTTTTCATATACTACAAAAACCATTAACGAATCATTATCGAATTTGCTTTTTTTTTTAAAACAAATTTGGAAGGAAAAAACAATAAATTCAAAAGCAAAACTAACAATTAACTTCAAAACCTAGGATTTTTCACTTGTAAAATAAGCAAATTGACTCACATACACGCATAAGAGAGGTATCACTTGTAGGATTTTTAGAGTTTTTTTTACTAAATCAAAAATTTAGTGTTGAAGATAATTAGTTTGTTTTTAAAAGCCCATATCATTTTTTTTAAAGGCCCTACAAAATTAATTTATAGCTTTTGCAGCATATCCAAAACTTAACAAATTTTTAGTTTAAAAGGCCCTAAAATTTTGAGGCCCCAATCGTTGGCTTCAGTTGCTTGGCCTCTGCGCCGGCCCTGCTTATTGTCATGTGATATGGGACCAGGGCCGACTTAAGAGGCAGCGCAATGGGGCGAGGGTCCATATTTTTCAGCTAAATTTGCCACACATTTGAGATGACATATAGTGGTAGATAATAAAATTTTTCAAAATATGTTACCCTCTTTTTGTGAAGAAGAAGTTGTCTCGCAATTGCGTCGATTTATTCTTCTCAATTTCGTAGCTGATATATCATACAAATATCTCGCAAAAAAAAAATGTATGTATATATGTATGCTTATATAAACCAAAGTTGGCAAGAGTAAGTGAGTAAAGAAGAAAGATCACTTAAAAATAAATATTTTCTTGAAATCCCCTTTTGACAATTAAATATATTTTTCTAAATTTTGGAGCGAGATAATGTCTCACGGGATTTATGTTCGAGAGTGGATGTATAAACACATAAATTCCAATGGATGGGCTAGAAGAATTCATGGAAACGCGAATCAAATGTTATTGACGTGAAAAACCGGTAACATGTACTAACCAAGTCAAAAGTACGAAAATGTTCAATATTTTTCTATCAAAACCGTCACAAGACATTCATATAATAGAAAGTTTCTATCAAATTATTATATATGGTTTTCGCATAGTGAGGCAAATCTTATTATATAAATTATGGTTTTCAAAGTTAATAACTCGCATGATCGTGACATGTGTCAAGTCTATCGATTAGATGTTGACATGTGTCAAAAAATATTTAACTTTTTTCATTAACGAAATAGGAAAACTAAAAAAAAAAAGAATATTTACATATACTAATTTATATATCTAATTTTTAAAATTTGTTAACTTTATTTTTCTTAGCCAAAAAGGAAAACTAACAATTTCTTAGATTTGACATGTGTTAATTGTTTTCTATAAAATCATTTAGTATGGATATTAACAAATAAACAATAACTGTTGAAGTTTTAAATAACAATATAAGTTATTTAACATTAATTTAATTAGATAAAATTGTATTTATCATCGTAATATAGTGTTTTTATTCATCAAATGAAAACACAAAATTTTGACAAAAAATAATGAGCTTATAAAAACGAACAAATATTTGATAAGAAAATTAGTGTGGTTATACTTAATTTTATTTTAACAATTTTAGTGCATCTAGTCATAATTATAAACTAAAAATATTTGGGAAAATGGCTTATATGATTGAATTTTTGACTAATGAGAATGTTAATATATATATATATATATATTTTAATGATTTATTTATTAATTTTAACTTATTTAAAATTAGTTTGCCATGAGGTAAAACTAACTTATGGGATTACGTTATATAGAAAACTATATTTTAACAATGTTTGTTTTCCATAACTTTTGTGGATTTCTATTTTTTATTAAATGTTTTGTTATTTTTTAATATATTTAATTTTTAATATTAACTAAGATATAGATTTGATATGATATATATACGATTTTGATACAAAATTATTATTAACAGTTTATCCAATAAGATGAACTATGAAGACTTAAAATCAAGTTTATTGTGATGTTATAAATAGTTAAATTATATTGGAAAATGGAATGTGTAAGATTAAAATTTCGTTTTAAAAAAAAATACTAAATTGAATATATAAAAGTGTGTCAGTTACTATTTAGGATTTAAATATCATCAATGCGAAAAAATGTGTAGAATTAAAATTCAGTTTATTACGATGAAATAAATAACTAAAATGTATAGAAAATAGAATATGTAAGATTTAATTTTTTCTTAAAACAAAAAATACTAAATTATTAAATATTAGGGAAACTGAATGGATTATTATATTAATCAAAATTCAAATATAATTGATAACAATTTATATTTATATATTATACCCGCCTATTTAGGCGGGCCTTATCTAGTATGATATACATCGTCTAGTATAACGTTTTCAACATGTAGAGCATGCTGATCATTCACGACTATATCATATAAAAACGATTCGCAATTTTGCGAGAAATTTTTCCTAACTCATCCGACGATAAGAAATGTATCGTTTTCGTTGTCACCAGTAAACAAAACATAAAATAAGAGACCTCTATTTCCTTCACAAGTTAATATGTGGTAGGTAATTTTAAGGGTGAGTTAAATATGTATGCTCAGACGAACGAAAAATTAAGTATGTATGCTTTCATAATTAGTTATTTAGTTCTCTCTCTTCACCTTAAATAATTAAGACGAAAATACCCATATAAAACATAAAGATCTTTAGTTGTGTAGCACAGATACGGAGGCTAACCGAGTTAAGCAACTTATCGACTAACCACGTTATTATCGTCCGCGTTTGTCTTTCAGCCAAATATCATCACCAACATCTGTAATAGCAACACCTTAAGACAGAGCAAAAGAAAAAATTATGAGATATAAGTAACGAAAACATTACAGAGTAACTCAAGTATCGATTAATATTGTCATTAGCATTTGCGTTACTCTGAATTGCAGTAACTTCACCAACCTTAGCAAGACTAGCGCCCTAAAACAAGGAATGCAAAAAAAAAAAAAAAAAACCAACCGGTGCTAACGAAAATATAAACACTAACTACTAAATTATCAGCTAACATCGTCTTTAACACAATCTATCCTCTTAAAATTATAGACAAATACGAACAATTAGATAACAAACACTTGACTATAGTAGTTAAATTATCAAACATATATAATTATCAAAAAAATTACGAGCTATAAGTAACGAAAACATTACAGAATAACTTAAGTATCGACTAATTTTTTAGCATTTGCGTTACTCTGAATTCCAATAACTTCACCAACTTTAGGAGTACTAGCACCCTAAACAATGAATGCAAAATAAATATACCGAGTTAAATATTATATCGCAATAAGTTTATAATTTATGTGATAAATTCATATTTATCGTGTAAACCAATTTATTATATATATTAGATATAAAAACAACGGGTTACATATAATATAGTATTTGTGTGTATAATTATTTGATTAACATGTGAATTAGTATAGTTTCGTAGTAAATTCATATATTATGTGTTCAATGCATATTTATCATGTTAAAACCAGTAATCATATTTATGCATAATTATAATAAAATACATATTTATGCATAATTACTCTTTTGCTAATGTAAGTAACTGGATAAAAATTTCTAATAACGGGTATCCCTTATATATTAATTGAAAAGCATTTTTAATAAATAACCTTATCTTCATGTGTGATTAACAAAAATGTCATGCTGACGTGTCGTTCTCATAGAGCTTCTCAATCCATTTAATTAAAAACCCAACACTTATTAAGATATTTACAGATTTTGCCATTAGTTTTACTTATATTTATTTTTTCACTTGATTTATGTTTTTTATTTTACTCAATTAATTAAAAATAAAATACAATTAATTAAAACAAAAATACAATTATAATATGCAATTAAGATATAAAAATCTATACAAAATGGAGTACCTAGTATTTTGTATATTGATTAATATACCAAGATATATATCATAAATTATGATAAACATAAACATTAATACATAAATAAAAAATTTACTAATCTTGATAATCATTAATACACCACCGTTTATCTAATAATATAAAAATCGAACACCTTCAATCTTTTTTTTTGGTAGGAGTGAACACCTTCAATATTGTCAATACATTAAAATTGGTTAATAATCGTTTTGTCCCGCACTATGTGCGGGTTGTTATCTAGTATATAATTATAAACGATAACAATAATAATAATATGTTAAGTAATACTATAAATCGTTAACAATAACAAAATAATAATTTATTTACCTAACTACAAAATTGAGTTATTAATTCTTTAATATTACATATATTTATAACGGATTAATAGTTTATTTAACGGAATTTTACATTGTTTAATCGTTAATTTATAAATTATCGGATCAATTCGAGTTTATATTTAGTTTAGCAAAATATCTCACAGTTTTTCTAATTCCACCGTCATAATCTCCGATAACAATTGAAGTATTAGATACATCACAACACAAATTGAAACTCAAACATAGACGCCTTCACGAATTCCATATTAATTAGAACTCAAACCACACAAACAGAGACAAAAAATTGCCCTCGTCATCGTCCATGACGATATCCATTGATTCCTGAGAATCATTAGACACTCCTCCTAATACTCTAGTTTTCCAACAACCAATATAACTTCAATCAATTGTTGGCAAACACATGGGTCAAGGAGCCGTCTCGGCGGAGCTGGTCTCGAGTTCAACGTTGGGTCAAGGCGCCGTCTCGGCGGAGCTGGTCTCGAGTTCAACATTGACGTCCGTCATAAGTATTGACAGAGAATGAAATTGTCTAGAGTTTTTTTATTTTCTTCTTCTCACATCAAACACAAGTAAGAAAGAGAAATTAAATAATGAAGATAGGGATAAAAAAATCCAAATTTATTAAACACTAAACAGTAGATGAGATATTTAGGGAGGAAAGAGAACTAATTTTCCACTTATCTGAGCATAGATAATGGTATATCTCTAATTTTAAAACTTAACAATCTGAGAAGACACTGGTTTAACTTGACAGTCAACCAAACCAAAACCTTTGCAATCCGGCCGGTTTAAGTTGACTAGCCGGTCTAAATCGAACACTTAAACCAAAACCTAAATCCGGTTAAAGAAAACTGTACATTTGACAGCTTCGTCTTCTTCACCAACTACCCCATTTCTGCTTCTGCTTCTACTTAGAGACAGACAAAGAGAGATCGCTTCGGCACAATCTGCAATTTTCCAACATCGACATGTTTAACTCTATGGCGTTGATAATTTTCACCATTCTTTTCCTCTCAATCTCCGACGCGTTCCCGATTCCGTCGCCGAACGGAGAGATCGACGCAATGTTAGTCCGAAACAGTCTCATCGGAGAAGATGAAGATCTAATGCCAACTGAGATCAGCCGGAGAGTACTGATGGCACAGAAACGGTACATCGGCTACGAAACCCTAAGGAGAGACATGGTTCCTTGTCAGAAACCAGGAGCTTCTTACTACGATTGTCGCTCCGGACAAGCTAATTCTTACAACAGAGGCTGCGAGACCATTACAAGATGTGCTAGAGACACAAGCGACATCAAGACATGAAGGTAAGATCCAAGAAATTGCCAAAATTGGAAGTTTTTTAGCTTTTGGTCTGAAATTCAGAGGCAAGTAAGTTCTATATATGTTTTGAGCCTTTTTTGATATATGAATTGTTATATATAATTGTAACACTACAACTATTTTTGCTTAATTATTGAGATCTATAAATTATATGAAGTTTTTTCAGTAGATTGATGGATAAATTTGGGTGTTAGTTTTGCTTGTTTTTGGGTGATTTGGACCAAATTAGAATCTTGTCACTTAGTATATTAAGATTCTTGCTAATTACACGAGCAAGAGCAATCTGTGTTCTTCAAATAACACCAAAATCATCTTATAGTTTAACAATAAATCTCAACAATAGAGTTTTATTTTTGTAAGTATAGAAAATCTTTTGAATCAACAAAATAGTCTTAAGAAGTAACTAAACCACCAAATCTATAAACTCCAGAGTAATGAACATTGCAGGTCCTTTTTTTATCTCTCTATAACGTATGAGTTTGGTGATATGAGGCTCTCCACGTACGTATTTCCGAGTAGAGACTTGTCGAATTCAACACCGCGGATTTTCAGATTCTTCCTAGTATTACGCTCAAAATTGTACAAGACCAAGTGTCCATCGAGCACCAGAAGAACCTCCTCGTTATTCTCGGTCGAACACAGCGGTTTCATGTGTTTGTAGGAACGGCTGATTCGAATCTTACTCCAAGAACTCTCGAGGCCGTACTCGTTCATTACCCATATAACATCATGTATCTTCATGCAAAAATAAACAACACAAAGACGCCCTTTGAGAATACCGACCTTAGATTTTGGATAGATATGCTCACATTCCTCGGCCAAATCAGGTAATGACATAACTCGGAACTTCTCTGTCGTAAGGTCAAATGCTGTAACCACTTTCTGACTAGTTTCTCCTCTTCTAGGTATGGAAATCCAATGGATCGCTCCGTTGAGTTCCACAGAGGTAAAAAAACAAACATCTTTATAAGGCATATTGCATATTCGTCTCCACGAATCTGTCTTCAATGAGTAGACATAATTGTCGTTACCATCAATAAACTTAACCACTTTGAAATCATTGTTTAGAGAATCGAAACCAAACCCATAACTAAACAAAGTTTTAGTGGATTTGGAACGCAAAGATTCAGGCAAGTCTGGTAGTTTCTTGGATTCTCCGGTGGTCGGGTTATACAAGAAGACATCGTTTAAAAGCAAAATGTTAGCCATACACAGCAACCCGTTCGAAGATCCAAAGAAACGAACCCAACGTTTTTTATATTTTCCGGACGAATGAATTCCATCTGAATTCGATTTCAATTCAGCTTTCTTATATAATTCAGATAAGAAATCTACATCTTCTTTAAGCGGGTAATCGAGTTCCACAGCAGTCAAATCCTTAATTCCTTCACAACCATCACGGATCGAATCTAAATCTACCGCAAATAGATTATTGAAAGGCAGTATAAGTCTACGGTGGCCCAATCGTACCGCGTTATGATCGAGATGCTTTTTCGCAAACTTGGGATCGGATAAGAGAGAGTGAAAAGGCTTTGACACGCATCTGAATCTCCCCAATGATCTAGCATGTGATCGAAGCAGAATTTCTGTGATTACCTCTTGAGGAAGGTAGGGCAATTTCGTGGGTGAAGCTTCGTGATGGGTCCCAACTCTCCCCCTCTTCGTCGCCTCCATTATATTGTTCTCTGAACAGAAACCTTTATTTCTAAAAGATATTTAAGGCTTTACTATCGTGATTCTTAAAGCTATTTATATGTGCCGTTCAATCATTATTAAGGCTACCCTAAACCTAGCTTACACAACAAGCTAAATAAATAATATAAGGCAATAAATAATTTGACTAACATGTGTGCTTATTAGAAAAAAATATAAATCATTGAAAATCAAAAATCATATCTTATAACATCCAAACTTTTCAAATAGTCTAGTCTACTAATCTTAAGTGTTTCACATCCTTCAATCGTCTAGTTCCTTGCAATTATGATATAGAGAAAATGTTCGTGATTCTGATCGAGTATTTTCGGTCGGGTTTGAGTTCCTACTTCGGGTTCGGGTTTTTTGTCCAGCCCTAGCTTACTGCTGAGACGATCTAGACTCGTTACGCAGCGTAAATTTTACATTGTCAACCCCTCTCTTTTTATCTCTTTGGAGGAACGTTCTCATTGTTCTCACAAAAGCAGTAAAATTTGAAACTTTCAAGGCAGATTTTAGTAGTCCTGACAAAGAAGAAAGATAGTTCGTTGAAGAAAATGAAAACGCATATTTTTAGCTGAATGTTAACAAAAAGTTAGATTGAAAGAGCCTTTCTGAATTAATTAGAGAACTTTGAAACGTGTACGATAGTAACTACAACCGCAGATCCACCCACGAATCGAACCCATGTGTTATTTCGTGTGTTAACCCACATTAAAGATGAGCAACTGAGACATTCATTCAACAAAAGTCGCTAAAAATTGGGATACCGAAAACAAGTTTCCCCTTTTTTTGGTTTCTCATTTGTTTGAAGAGTACAACGTTGAACAGAACACACAAAATAAAATCAAGAGGAAACTAAACCATAAACCAAAAACTAATTTAAGTTTGATGAAAAATGGAGAAAACAAGCACAACCTTTAAAAGCCAATAACCCTTATTCATACTGATATTTGGTCAACTTCATCAGAAGACCAATATCTCAAACAGTTCCACTCTTCCACCACAAGTAGACCCGAACCATACGCTTTGTCCACTCTCTCTCTCTCTCAGTACCTGTAGTGAGGAGGCTTGTATGGTCCCTCAATCGGAATGCTGATGTAGTCAGATTGGTCCTTTGACAGCTTTGTAAGCCTGGCTCCAAGCTTGCCCAAGTGAAGTGCTGCAACCTTCTCATCCAAATGCTTGGGAAGAACGTACACCTTCTTCTCGTACTTACCGCTTGACTTCTCGTTCCAGAGCTCGAGCTGGGCAATAACCTGGTTGGTGAAAGAGCAAGACATCACGAAACTCGGGTGACCAGTGGCACAACCCAAGTTCATGAGACGACCCTCAGCCAAGACAATGATTCCGGTCTTGGTCTCTGGGAACACCCACCTGTCAGTCTGAGGCTTGATGGTGATACGCTTAACACCAGGGTAAGTCTCCAATCCAAGCATGTCAATCTCATTGTCAAAGTGACCAATGTTGCACACAATAGCGTTGTTCTTCATCTTCCTCATGTGGTCAACCATGATGATGTCTTTGTTACCAGTGGTGGTGACAAAGATATCAGCTTCTGAGACAACATCCTCAAGGGTAAGAACCTGAAGTCCTTCCATCAAAGCTTGAAGGGCACAGATGGGGTCAATCTCAGTCACAATGACTCTAGCACCAGCAGTCTTCATGGCAGCAGCACAACCCTTTCCAACATCACCATATCCACAGATAACAGCAACCTTTCCAGCGATCATAACATCAGTGGCCCTCATGAGACCATCAGGAAGTGAGTGACGGCAACCATACAAGTTGTCGAACTGTAAATCAACAACACATGAAATTCTCAGTGACAGCACATAACATTAATCTGTTCTCCACTAATAATAAACAAACACAGTGATGAATATAAAATCAATTAGAAACACTGAGTTTAAAGTTAACCCTGTAACCAAGTAAAGACAGTTTCCTACTACTTAGTGATTACGTTGTTGTTTAAACCTATAAGCAACAAAAACTACAGATCTAGAGACCTATCAGCCTCATCATCACTAGTAAAGATCAATACCTTGCTCTTGGTGACAGAGTCATTGACGTTAATGGCAGGGAACAAGAGAGTTCCATTTTCCTGCATCTGATAAAGCCTCTTAACACCAGTAGTAGTTTCCTCAGAGACACCAACAAGTCTCTCCTTCATCTTATGGTACTTCTTAGGATCAACCTGAAGACCTTCCTTGATAATAGACAACACGATCTGAAACTCAGGGTTATCAGTAGAAGTAGGATCAGGAACTTGACCAGTCTTCTCAAAAATCTCCTCAGCTTTAACACCTTCATGAATCAAAAGCGTAGCGTCACCACCATCATCAACAATCAGATCAGGACCACCACCTGGACCCCAATCAAGAGCACGTTCCGTACACCACCAATACTCCTGAAGCGTCTCACCTTTCCAGGCGAAAACAGCGGCGGAGTCACGAGCGATTGCGGCGGCGGCGTGGTCTTGAGTGGAGAAGATGTTGCAAGAACACCATCTGACTTCAGCACCGAGAGCAGTTAGGGTTTCGATGAGTACGGCGGTTTGGATCGTCATGTGAAGAGATCCGGTGATTCTAGCGCCTTTGAATGGTTGAGATGGTCCGAACTCGGTACGACAAGCCATGAGTCCAGGCATCTCAACTTCGGCGAGCTCGAGTTCGAGACGACCGAAATCGGCTTGAGACATGTCTTTGACCTTGTATTCACGGCCGCTTGAGGTCTTCTCGACGAGCAACGCCATTTTTCTAGATCTGAGATTTGAAATCGAAGGAGGCAGAGAGAGAGAGAGAAGTGAGTGCGAGGAGAAGAGAAAGGGAGTGAGAGAGAATATATAGATGAGGTCAAAATGAAATGGACGGTTGAGATTGTTTTGAGGGTTTGGTGGATCTGGTAGAAGTTATAATCCCGTGGATGAAGGAACACGCTGCACGAGCGGTATGACTCGTGTTGTGGGTTGATCGGACGGTGATGTGGGAGTGTTGCCACGTGGCTGTGTTTTATTTGTTTCGGTGAATCATAGATCTTAGTTATTGACTTATTGCGAACCCTAACGGGCCTTCACAGTAGTAGCCCACGAATGAACAATCAGTTGATTTCTTTAGTTTCTTTTTTTCGATGACTATTCAAGAATTAGCAACTACTAGGTTATTTATTTACGGCATATTTCTGTTTTTGTTTCATTTTAGAAATTAGAATATACTATATATATTAAAACAGAATATATTTTTTCAAAAAACAATTATGTAATATCATTAGAAGAATCTTTGTAAATCTTATCATTTATTTACAAAGATTAATGAAGAGTTTAAAATAATAATTTACAAACACATGAATTTACTTACAAAGATAAATATCATTCACCACACTGCAGCATTCGTTAATCGCCATGAAAACATGATATTGAGATGGTTGCTTAAAGTTTGAAGGACTATGAAAGGAGGTTTTCACCAAAGAACATGTGT